AGTGTTGTTCGTTAGTTTGTTTGTTCGTTCTTACCTTACTAGTTAATTAGTACGTACGTAAGTAATATATATATATATATATATATATATATATATATATATATATATATATATACACACACACACACCACTGAAACAGCTTTGTGGAAAACACCATTTTAGCACTGAGCTGGATGGGCTTAACACTTTTCATATTCCCCTGTTGGTGCAGACTTGGGGTAAGTACTCACTATGAAGTAACACCAGCTACTCAGGGAGTTCCATCAACCTCATAATATAAATAAATCAGTGCGTGCGTGCGTGCGTGTAAAAATAAACAGTTCACCATAAGAAAGCCACTGTGAAGAGTGTAAAATGGAGGGAGATGAAAGTCATGGTAGATAAAACCTCCCTGTTGTGTAAGTAAGAAGACACTAATGTGTCAAGGGTTGTCCACATCCTCACCTGAAAGATCCCATACAGGTGATATTGATGGCTAAAGGCAAGAGAAACCATGAGATCATGAACATGACAGGAGGAGACATGAAAAATTAGAAACAGGTCATCACTCACAGAAGAAGAAACTAGATGAATGTGGTGTATAACCCAAGTGGGCATTGTGGAAGGAAATAAGTGGCAAGCAGAAGAAGAATCTCATGGAAAGAAAAAGATGTTAGCAAGTGCCATAAAAAAGGAGCAGTATGAATGAAATAATAATGAATAGACTGTGCAGGACAAAGGAGATGAGTTGGGTCGGAATGAGCATACAGGGAAAAAAGTGAATGGAGGATGATTGAAGAAAATGTCCAAATGCTCCCTCAAGGTACCCAAACTTTTAAGCAGTTAGGAAATAAGATGAGCCTGTATCTGTGGAGTATAATGTGAGACGAGGCCAAGATAAAAGTGATAGCTTCCACAAGGAAGACAGGGAAGAAATACATCTGAAACATGTAAAAGGCGGTTTAATGACACTAGACACAGAGCGTCCTCAACCAGATCTGTAAAGTTAGATTGGATACCAAATGAGCAGGAACAAGGAGAGAATGGAGAGGTGGAAAAGCTGAGATAATAAGACACCCACAGTGGAAGCAAGACTAAAAAACACCAGTAGAAGAATAAATCACTCTATGTGAAGAATCCAAGGCTAGGTGAAATAGTCAATCCACTACTAGGGACTAAGTGTTCGAGACATGATAGACCAACAACTGAATGTGGCTATGGGCCCAAAATAAAAAGTTCAGGGCCAGGAAAACAGAGGTCCTTGGAGAGAGTGCTTCCCAGGGAAAAGAAGAAACAACAAGAGGACATGTCTGAATAGATCATGATAAGAAGATCAGATAAACAGATTGAAGATGATGGTAAGCCTGTTGTGTAGCCACCAGTTCAAGTATAAAGACAGAGAAATCTTCACACTGGAAACCAGATACTGGAAATGAATTGGACATCCAGAACAGCAGTCAACTGGAACAGAGGCAGTATAAAGGTATGGTTGTAGGATTGGTTGTTGTCAAGCTCAAAGGCAATACAAAGTGCCACTGCATGGATATGTGAATCCACATATATAAGTGGGACCCACAGACTGACTTCTGAGTCATGGAGGGCTCCAAACAGATGTAAGTCTGGATAATGTGGGCCAAGAGGGATGTTCAAGGTTGTGTAGGATCAAGTAGGCCACCCTGACCATAGGAAGGGAAAAGAAAACTATCTCAGGAGATATCTGCATTATCAGGCCAGAATGCACTGAATGGGACACATAAGTACATCCAATAGGAATGAGGGACTCAAGAGAAAAGAGTCCCCCAAAAAATACTCATGCTGGAAATGAATGAGATAAATAACTCTGGTATCAAATGCATTATGTCACACACAAAAAAGTAGAATAAGTCTGTTCTACATATGAAGTGAGAGAGACCTCCAAGTGACTGAAATACAGGGTGGAGGTTGAGACTAAAATGGAGAGCCAAACCAGCCACCGAAAACATCATGACTCCAAAAGAAGAAGGGAGGTTGCAACAGAAGAGAGCAAGTTTGGGAGGAGTATGTAGAGGCCAACCATCCATACAGTAGTGTAACAATAGGCGTCAAGAATGTAATCTACGAGTAATAACCCACTGAACTTAGAGAAAAAAGATGCAGCCATAGCAAACTTGAAGAAAATGATTTAGAACAAAATATTTGACCACTGCAGATGAACCAAAGAAAGTAAAAGATGGACAGACAAATCAGGATGCAGAGAAAATGACCCAAAATTGAGTCATCCATTATCAGGGAGAGTGTCCACCAAAGTATGAGAAAAATGTCCATCAGGAACAGAAGAAAGACGAAAGGTGAGTCATATTGGACAGACTGATATCTAACAGATATCCTCCCATCTTTGTGGGAATGATAAAAAAAGAGAGAAGTAAAATCCCACAGTGAGGTTGAGGAATTGTCTCATGACATTTGAAACAGTAGATATGAAAAGCAGACATACAAAAAAAGCCTTGAGAGAGTACCTAAGGAACTCAACAGGCTGTAGCAAAGGGAGTCCACCAGTGGACAAAGTGGGAAAGCAAAGCTCCAACAGGACCAGAGCCAAGGGATGTCTCCAGAAACAAATCGCCAAGATCCATAACATCCAGTCTTCAAAGAAGAAGACCATGGATAGTAACAATAGGACAAAAAGAATGGGGAGTACTCCACGAGTCTGTATACAATGAAAAACCTGGTGAGGTCCATGGTCCCAAAGGAAGTGACTGCTGAAGAGCTGCATCAACTCAAGGCGTCAACATATAAGAAATACCCATAACACTAAGAATAGGTGCAAGACAGAAGTCTCGGAGATGGTAATGGGAAAGGCAAAAGTCAGAAAGTAGGGCAACCTGACAAAGTACACCCCAGAAACACAGAAACCAAGAGCAATGTAGAAAACAGATATGTGCAAGTTGCCCAAGTAAAGCTGATAGGGTCATGACAAAAAGCCTCCAAGTAAAGAAAAAGCACCAGAATGAAAAAAGAATTTTATTACGAGATGAATACGAGTATACAAAGGATCGTGATGGAAAGCCTCCAAATGAACAAAGTATTTCAGTAAGAGATGAATACGAGCA